AAGTTACTCCTGCCCAGTTGCAGAAATGAATAGAAGCATTCCATGAGTTGAAAACCCCAAATGGGTCAGTCCATATTGCTTTCTTGATTTCCAGAAGAGCTTGATAATCTGTCTCATTTGTGACACTGACAGCACCAGCCATGGGAGTGGGGACTAAGTTTAACTGGTTCATGTAGAAGAAAGTATAGAAGAGCACGGCTGAACTCAGTTGTCTCAAAACCATACTTCTGCCCTCCATCTTTTCTGTCACAGCAATTCATGGAGTAAGAAGGATGGATACGCTTGGAAATTGTAGACAAGATCTGCACAAAATCCTCTGTGAACATAGAATCTTGATTCTTGCCTCAAGCTCAAGTAATAATAATTAATAATAATGCGTTGCATTGCCCGGCTCTCAAAGTCTCAAGGCGCTGTCTTTTTGATGAAAGATTTTCCTCCATTCTAATATTCTAGTCACTTCCTCTATAAAACTGCGACATTAATATATTTTCCCACTTCCGCTATCAGGAACTGTTCCCAGAAATGAATGACTCATGAAAAATATACCCAATATATGTAGCTGTAAAAAGTCAATTAACTTTATTATAAAATGGAAAAAACAGCCCAAACAAATAATTAAAATTATGAAATTATAGTATATCAGTTTCCATCCATATCAGCATCTTCAATCAATGGTATGGGAAAACAAATATTACACTAACATCGCAAATCAAAGGAGAAAATAAATTTCTTTTGTTCACATTATGATATCTTTAATCCTTATAAATGTTAGTAACTAAGCTCTGTCCGTTTTCCAAACACGTCTAAAAGTTCCAGCAATATCCACAAAAATCAAATAACAAGTATAAAGTGGCAAAGCATTAATGGCAAAATAAACCTTCAACAAATACGGCTATTAACACTAACGAGCTTTAAGCAGACAAATAATAGCAGAAATACAAAAGTAGCATCTATTTCTGACAGGAACAGATGAAGATGTAAAAGAGAGTTGCATCACTGCTGATTAAAGATCATAAACTCAAAAATGAAAACTTCTCATGGTTACTAAGAAGCTTGGCTGCTACTTTTCATTTGAGTCATAAAGGAAACGGATGTTAAAGATATATTCATGAAGCCAATTATAAACAAAGAGCCAGCCACAATAGTTATAATTTGCTTTAGAAACATCAAAAACTTAATTACCTTGTATGGCTAAACAAAAAAGAAAACTATACAGTAAGTACATCAGTTTCCCAAATAAACATCCTCATTTCCAGCCAGTAGTAAGCAGATCATAAGGAAGTGAAGTGGGATCAAGTTCCCAGCAGTGTTTCAAATGGTCAGGGGCATTAGCACTGGAAAGCTTCCTTGCAGGAATCTGATGTGAAAACAAACGGAGACCATCCTTCTCAAGCCATCTAATAGCATGACATCCAATCTCTTGTCTCTTAAATATTGTCTTGAACCCATCAACTTTCTCAAGGCATGCCATGCTTAGCCCATGAATCTCAGTATAAGTGGTTAGAGACACAACTATGTGGTAGCAACGTTTATCGCCAGCTGAAAGGTTTCCTCTTTCTGTACTGAATGCAGCTTCATCATAAAGAGCCCAAACAGAACCCTTCTTTGGATAAATCCGATAAAGCTCTTTTGCAGCTCTTTCACACTCCATAACATGTGAAAAGATATTCAAGGGGTGAATGGAAGTATTCCTAGAAACCTTAAATTTCCCGCAAGAAATGCTACATTTCATTTTCTCCAAACAGATCAACCTCTCATCCCCATTATTCTGAAGGTCCAGCCAACTCACCTTCACCTCAAAAGGATTCACTGAAACAACTTCATCAATCAAACCATAATGCCTTGGCATTCCATCATCGTCATATATAACCCACACTTGCCCTTTCTTGAAACTTTTCTCTACTCTATCTTTATTAAAATTATAGAAATTTGAATCCTCCATTGCCATAATCTCCAAGTCCCTGCTCAGAGAACCACTGCTCCTAGCAATTTCTAAATCAACTTTTGTTCTTGAAGTCCTCTGCCTCGTATTCTCCAAAGTCCCATTCTTCTTCCCACCCCTTCCACTCTCAACTTCCAATTCCACACTCTCTTTTGAAGTTTCACTGTTCCAACTACTCTCAGAAGATCCTTGCTCCTCCATCTCCTCATCATTACCGTTCTCCAAGTTTCCCTGTTTCTCATTCTCCAAAATTTTATCCATCAAAGCCCCACGTCTTGATCTCTTATTCTCCTTTTCTCCCTCATCTTTCTCCCTTTCCTTTGGTTTCAATCCTTCCTTTCTTTGATTCATTTTGCGCTTCATTTCCAACTGCATTTGTGCAAGTGTCATTGTCTCCTCCCCAACATCCACCTTCTTTAACTTTGAACTTTTCTCTATCTCCCCATCTTCCACTGTATTGGCCTTTGACCTGGCCAAAACATCCCCAACAGTACTTGTCCTCCTCCTCAACCTCCCTCCACCCCATTCATTGCCACCCATTTCACCACTTCCTTTCTCCTTCAAATCCCCATCTCTAATTTTCTCCATCAACCCCCTACTAGCCCTTTTCTCATTGCCTCCCTTATGCTCATTCAGAATCCCCTTTCCCTTCGGTCCACCAGTTTCACCACTTCCCACTTTCCCCTTTAATACAACACTCTCACCACTGCCCTTTTTCCCCCTCAAGTTCATACCATTTAACCTCTCACTGTCATCCATTTTCCTCTTCAACCTCTCACTCCGCACCCTAACCCATCTCTGATCCTCCTCCTTACTCTCTTCTTCCCCACTTCCTCCAACCTCCACAGCCTCAAAACTCTTTTTGCAACTTGGGCAAACCAAATTATGCCCCAAATACTTCCTCTCAAACTTATGCAACAACCTACATCGTGAACAGGCAGTCCAAAACGTCTCCACCTGAGCCCCATCCCCTTCCGACTCATTAACCCTCTCCTCTTGAATCTTAATCCTAAGCTTCATATCATATTCCTTCCTCTTAATTTTATCCGAAAAAACCCGAACCCCCTCATTCACAAGTTTAAACGCCTCCTCACATCCCAAATACGGATTCTTATCAGGGTGCAAAACCAAAGCTAGTTTTTTAAACTGCTTCTTAATTGTGTTGATATTAGAGAAGGGTTCTACCTGGAGGACCTTGTACCAGTCTGGGTCAGTGCCGACGGAGGACTTGGAAGCCACGCTGAGAATCTGGAAAGCAGTATGCATTGAGGAGATGCCTTCAAGACTTGGGCAGAGCTTATGGGCTCTCTCGGCGTGCTTTAGAGCTGATTTCAGGTTTGAGTTGTTGTACTTGGACTCTGCTAAAGTTTTATGTCGCAACGCTTCCTCCTCAGGGTCTGCCACCGGCGCCATTTTCAGAATAGCGAAGCTGATGAGAGTGGGAGGGTTTTGACACTACGCCGTCACCGGCCTTTGCTTTTGTGAGACAGACCGAACCAAATACTGATTTTATTTATTAGTATCTTTTTTTCTTTCTTTCTTTTTTTTTTTTAACGTGTTTGCATTTGGAGGCGGAATTCGAACTCAACTCCTTGCGTTACAATATATTTTTTTATTTTTGGATGCAGAGTAAATTATTTTTTATTTTTTATCTTATTTAATTAGTAAATTATGTTATTTAAATTTAAAATTTTTATTTTTAATAAAAAAAAATAATTATTGATCTATTTTAGAATACACCTAACAACTAAATTT